TCTCTCTCACTGCCCCTCCACTTTACCATGCACGAGGTCCTTCCCCAGTGGCCCATCTCTCCTGACAGCATGTCCAAAGGAAGTGAGAGAAGTCTCACCCCCTTGCTTCTAAGGAGCACTCAGGCCGTACTCCTTCCAGGACAGACTTAGGGTGGGGAGACCGTCCAAAGTGGTTTCTGCAGACACCTGGCCCCAGATTGCTCCCAGCCAGAGCCCTTGACCTCAGAGGCCGGTGGGGAATCGGGGCAGTGACTTGGGGAAGGAGGAAGGATCGGCTGCCAGTGTGCCACCTTGAGGTGTCTCTGGGGCAGTGATGGGGTGATGGGCTCACGAGGGCAGGGGCATTGAACCTACTCCCCAGAAAACTCCACCTGCGTCCTAAGACAACCATCCCCAGACTACAGGCAAGAGAGCCAAGGCTGGGACCCAGCCCCCACGCCCCGCAGGGTTAATCCCCAACAGGTCTGCACTCAGGAATGCAAAGGCCCTGGGGGACTGGACACTGTCCCATCCCACCCCCTTGGACTCTGGACTGGCCAGCAGCCCTGCCTCTGCCCCTGGGGCCCAGAGGGGGCCAGTAAGAATTTTGCTAGTCTCAGCGGAGTGGAGAAACAGCAGGTGGGCTTCGCTCTGCCCTTTGAGGGGCTGCTAAGCTTGTGGGAAACTAGACTGGAGAGACCATGGCATTCCCCACAGACGTCTGGACGTCTTCTCCTGGTCAACTCACTGACCAGTACCCACCTAGCTGCCTGTTGCCCCGAGGTGGCCTGTGTGTGGCTGCTGGAAGCTGTGTCCGGGGTTTCGGCACCAGCAGGGCCAGCCGGGTGGGCAGGCTTCGGCACAGCTTCCAGACTAGGACACACCAGGAAGAAGGAACAGGCACCTGTGGGATTCTCCCGAAACCCTTGCGAATAGCAGAGGCTCTCCTTCCCCTGGGGCGGCTCCACTCTGTCCCATGGGGTCGCTATGGGGTGAGCAGGGGTTGGGGGCGGTCTACTCTGTTCTCTCTAAAAATTAACTTCACTGCCATAGAGACCCCATTCTGATTCATGAACTGCCCCTGTGGGCTTCCGAGACTGTACCTCTTTAGGGGAGTAGACAGCCTTATCTTTCTGCTGAGGAGAAGCTGGTGGTTTTGAACTGCTGACCTTGTGGATCACAGCCCAATGAGCAGCCACTGTGGTACCAGGGCTCCTACAAGGCCCTTGTGAGAGGAACTCCACCCAGCAGCAGCGGCTGTATCTTGACCCCCCAACTTGTGCCACCAGGTCTCCCTAGTGTGTGGGACGGGGGAGGGCAGACACCCTGGGGGCGGGAGGCGGGGCAAGCATCTTAGAGAGCCGAGAGGCCCATCATGAGCCTTCCTGCCCAGCCCCACTGTGATGTGAACCCGGAGATGAGGGCAGGTCGGGCCAGGTGTATTAGAGGGGACCCTCTGCGCGTGGGGCGTGCAGTGAGGGTCTCAGCCTGGAGAGGGGAGGCCTTGAAGCAGCCTTCAGTGTGGATGACAACACAATGTAAGGACGCCCCCATCCTCACCACGGACCCACAGGGAGAAAGGCGGACGTCTCGGGATTTCCTCTTTCTTGGATCCACCGTCAATGCTCATGGAAACAGCAGCCCGGGGAGCAAACGACGTGCTGCCTTGGGTAAACCCACCACACAAGCCCTCTTTCAGACGTTGAGAAGCAAGGGCGTCACTTTGAGGACTGCCCCACATCATGGTATTTTGGTGGCCTCAGGCCATGGGCGGGGGGCGTGGACATGAGGGAGGCGGACTGGAGAAAAGGGTGTCTTTGAGGAATGGCGCTGGCCAAGCGTATCGACAGCCCCACACCCAGACTAACAACAACAGGCAGATCCTGCTCGGAGCAGTGCAGCCAGAATGTGTGTGCCAGACACGCGACCAGGAGAGACCCGAGCCAGAACCAAGCTGAGGGCCCGAGCTGACCCTGACCACAGGGGCTCGAGAGAGGGTTTCCAAGGTGGGGCATGTTTATGGGAGCGGAGAGCCTCCCCTCTTCTCCGTGAGACAGGTGGTGGGTTTGAACTGCGGGCCTCGGGGTTTACGGTCCAATGCTTACCCAACAGCAGCGATCAGGCCCTGGAGAAGAGCCTCATGCTTACTCAGCACAAACAGCCCCAAACAACACCAGGCAGGCCCTGGACAAGAGGGAGCGGCACGGTGGCCGCCACAGTGGGCACCAACGTCCCACTGCTGTGGGGGTGCTCGGGTCTGTAGTGCGTGGGGTCTCTAACTCCGTGTGAACCCCGACGTGAACTCGGCCTCCATGTAGTCCTTTGGAACCGTGGCACCTCACAGTCAACAGCATTGCCTCAGGCAGAGTAAGTCTGAAAGTGGGTTACCAAGGCCTGGTAACCAGGCAGGCTCGCCCTCAGGGACATGCTAGGGAGTGTCCTACTTAGAAACTGGGGTACCAGGGCCACCTGGCCATGAGTCCTACCCCAACCAGGGCACTCAGGGGTCCTGGAAGCAATCCTGTCCACATGCCAACAGTGGCCCCTTCCTCAGTCTGTGGCCCTGCCTGTGGCCATGGTGAACGGATATGTCCCCGACCCTGATTTCCAGACAATGCCTTTGCTTTCTGCCCTTAACATCCACAGCCCTACAGCTGTGGGTCCTTCCAACACCACGGGGCTTTCAGCTGGACGTCCCTCTCAACCGGATGACCGCTTCTGTGCTGCCGACATTAATAAAGAAAAACTCCCTGCCCTCAGCCAATGCCGACTGAGAGTGACCCTGCAGGGCAGAGGAGAACGTCTCTGTGATTCCGAGGCTGTAACTGTGGTTATTAAGTGCCTGGAGCCATAGCGGCCCCAGGCACCAGCGGAACCGGAGAGCTCCAGTCCTCGAAGCAGCAGGTGGCTTTGAATGGCTGTGAGCAGCCGGATGTACCATCACTGCCGGAGCCGGGCTCCTGCGACACCAGGCTGTTGGGAAGGGACATCTGGTCTGTCCTGACTCACAACAACGGTTCGTGCAGCCAAGGGAGCCCCGCCCGGTCCCACTTCGTGCTGACAACCTCCTGTGTCCAAGCCCCTGGCTGCAGCCACTGTGCCCATCCAGCTGGGGCTCTTCCTGGTTCCTGCTGCCCCTCTGTCTGACTGGGCTGATGCCACCAGACCTCAAGGCAATGAAGAGCATGCTGAAAACGCCGCACCTGGACAGTGACCGACGCAGCCACCCAGACACCAAGCGAGCCCATGCTGGTGGGGAAACGGTGTGGACAGAGGCCACGTGCCGCAGACCTCCCATCTTGGAACACCATGCTGTCACCAGAGGAATGCCTGCCCGCCATGACGGGTGCTAAGGACCAGCTCCGATACAGCTGGTCCTGCGAGAGCAAGACTCACAGGAAGTCCCCCAGGCCTACCTACGCTGGGGACAAAGCCACCACCCAAGGCCACAGGAAGGCTTCCCACATGACCCTCTCGCTGTGAGATGGTCCCTGGGCAGTGCCGGCGGTGGCAGGAGGGTCCCGTCACCCGGAAGCACGGCAGAGGAAAGGCCCGGTGCTCTGCGTCAGAAAAACCAGCCTCCAAGAGCCCTCCCGAGGGGACCCAGTTCGCTCTGGCCCTCAAGGGGTGGCCAGAGTGAGGCCCCGAGGCATATGTGGTCATTGTCAGAGCCCAGACTCAGCCGGTCCCCCTGTCCCCACCTGCCTGACCTCCATGGTGTCCACTCTGAACCCTGACCTCCAATATGGCCTCTGTGAAGTACAGAGGAGAGCTCATGGCACAGTGTCCCCAGAGCCCCCCCCAGCAGACCAGGGAAGGCCCGGAGCCCAGGCAGGCAGGGCCTGGGGGCAAGCAGAAGCCCAGTGGGGCTGGGAGGGCAGCGCGTGCATGGACACCATGGCCTGGTACCTCCATCCTTGGTCACTACAGCTCTGACCCAGGCCCGTCAGCCGGGGGCAGAATCCCCCCTCCCCTCGGGGCGCAGGAACTGCTCCATGCAAAACAAGGATGCGAGCAGAGCAGGCTGCCGGCAGCCGGACGGGCATCCGGGGCAAGAAGGCAGGAAGTGGTCAGCAGTTCCTCAGGTGGCGGAAAGGCTGGCCTGCACAAGGACTCCGGGCCGCGGCCTGCACGTCCATCACCCTGGAGCCAGGGACTCACTGACACACAGCCCTCCCCCTCCCATGCCATCCACATGCTCAGGGCGGGGGGCGGGGGGGCGCGGGGGATGCCCAGGTCCCAGTCAGGATACGGTCACTCACTGGTCACTGGACAAGCCACTTCCGGGATCACAGGAGGGGTACACAGATGGGGCGTGATGACGGGGAGAGGATGCACAAAAGGAGCAGGCATACGGGAGGCTGAGGGGGGCACAGAGGG